GAAATATTGACGTTTCGCTGCCCTTACCGCCACTAGGTAGGCCTTAATAGCCGCTCTAACCCGTGTTCAGTCTGATTCGTCCCGAGTTTTCTGCCAGCAGCGCTCTAGCCGTCTCTTAGCCCTTTTCAGCTCCCTCAACTCCTCTTTTTATGCTTAAAAGCAATTATTACAGGATATTTCTGGTATGAGCATTCATATTTTATCATTGAAAATTTCCTTATTTAAAAAGTTGAATCCCTTTTAAAATAACAAATCCATTTTATCACAGAGGCTAAGGTCACTGTTAATTTAAGTTTTAGTTATTTCAATGGGCCTATTATAAATATCACCAAATTTGGATTCAACCAATTATTTACAATGACTTTGTTTTACTAGTAGTCCATCACATATAATAACAAAAGCTTTCTTAAGTTTCTCATTGTTGCATAACTCACATTACACACAAACAAACAAAAATGTTTTTATAAATGTTTTACAGGAATAGAGAACTCTATGAATTATACTGTATGGAAAAATTGTACTCCTTCCTCCAAATTATCCAACTTCCAACACTTCCATATGTTTCATTTCTTTTTTTCAAAGCTATATATGATTATGGTTACATTTGCAGTGGAACTACAGTAAATTACAATAACATTACAGTTTTGGGCATATCTGAATAAAGGTTGCGGACCAAAATGGGTTTGTAAATTGTTTGGAAAGGAACCATAATAATCATCCCAATGCACATAAGACTAACTGTGACTAATCTGGAAAGAAAGAGGGAAATTTAAATGAGAAAAGAAGCAGACCAGCTCATAGCCTATCTTTCTTGTCAGGGCATAAGAATTACTACAACTATACTGAGTATCTGTGGAGTCTCACAGCAGCATCGCATTTTTCTGAAAATTCTGTATGATTTTCCATATTTGAACTTTTTTTCTGGTGGTATAATTTAATTTGGGATGTTTTACTCTTGGAAAAACATAATCATACAATTAGTACAGAGAACAGAGCAAATTTCAGATACAATCTTAAATACATTTATGCAGAAACAAATTCAGATGAAATGACACTTGTGTTAGTAATGAAAAGGGTTGGCTGACTACAATACTGCATATTTTACTCCCTCATTCCAAGAACACTCATACCAATGCGGTCACTTAAATAAGTGTTAAATTTACAAAGAGAGAATGCAAATCAACATCTCTTAAAAATTAATGCACAGGAAACTGCCTCATACTAGCAGACTTTTTGCATCTCTGGTTAAACCAAGTTCCACAATGGCTAAACAGCCTGTGGCCAACTTGGTCCCCCAATCCAAAGACTTTTTTGGTGCGGGGAGAGGCCGCTTTGTTTTCCTGTCTCCCTATTGCGTCCTTTCTCATCTCTGTCGCCTTTCTTCTGCAGTTTACCACTGCACTGACAAATGAGAGTACAGTACTCAAAACCAGCAGCAGAGGAGACTGCTGCTGAACTTTTCTTCCTGCTCCACAGTGTGCATAGCACAGCATCCACTTAATTCTACATTCAGAAAGCATTCTACTGTTAGAAAGCCTTAAGTGATAAAGTTGATGTACAAAAAAAGCTGCAGCTGGTAATTTTCCTATCAGATAAAAATTAAACTCAGTAGATTTAAGACCAGATAAAATGAGAGAGAGGGCTGATGGTGAAATCTACTTAAGAAAAAATACAGTATTTAATAGGGCTTAAGAAAAATATGGTGAAAGAGGTGTGGGCACATCCAGGCTTTATTCTGGACCACTGTCTGCTACGATCATCCCTACTTCCCCTTTGACCTGGTCATATGCACATTCCTGTCCATTCTGCAAGACTGCAATTATTTATTTATTTATTTGAATTTATCGGCCGCCCATCTCAGTGGACTCTGGGTGGTGCACAAAACTAAAAAAGACATAAAATCAGCTAAAGATAATTAAATCAAAGGCAGCCTGGATTAAAATGCTCTAATAACAAAATCCACACTAAACAAATAACAAACATCAACCCCAGGCCTGCAACCAAACCCAGGTTTTCAAAGCTTTCCGTAACCCCAGGAGAGAAGGTGCCATCTTTATCTCTGGAGGAGGGGGGGAGACAACTGTTCCAGAGAATGGGGTCTGCAACAGAGAAGGCACACTTTCTCAGTCCCACAAGATGGCACCATTTAATGGAGGGGACCTGGAGCACACCCACTCTGCTGGAACCTACTGGGGGCCAGAAACAATTGAAGACAAGCAAGGTATTGAGGTCCTATGCCATACAGTGCTTTATAGGTCATAACCAGCACCTTGAATTGCACTTGGAAGCCAACTGGCAGCCAATGCAGCTCACATAGCAGTGGTGACACAATGGCACATGGAGAGGGACCCATTACTGCTCACGCTCCTGCATTTTGAAACAGCTGTAGCTTCCAGGTAGTCTTCAAGAGCAGCCCCATGTAAAGTGCATTGCAATAATCCAATTATGAGGTGACCAGGGCACAAGTGACTATCTAAAGGGCCTCCTGATTGAGGAAAGGCATAACTAGTGCATAAGATGAACCATACAAAGGCCCTCCTCTTCAAGCAGTACCTGGGAGTCCAGAAGAACCCCCAAGTTGCGCACCAGCCTGGGGAAGTGCAGCCCCATCCCAGTCCAAAGATGGTGACATCTCTGACCCAGGGGGTCCAAACACCACAGCCACTCAGTCTTGTTAGGATTGAGCCGAAGTCTCTTCTGCCCCATCCATATTCGAACAGTCTCCAGGCACTGGGACAATACATTAACAACTTCACCTGTGCCGCTTGGGGTGGAAATGTAGACCTGGGTATCATCAGCATACTGATGATACTGTACCCCAAACTGGCTGATGACCTCACCCAATGGTTTCATGTAGGGACCACAGATGAGCTTTCCCCATCTGTCAACACCAACTGAAACCAACTGCTGAGGAAGGAGGTGAACCACAGAAGCACAGTGCCTCTCACTCCTAACTTCCGCAGCTAGTCCAGAAGGATACCATGGCTGACAGCATCAAAACCCGCTGAGAGATCAAGAAGTATTAGAATGGATGCACCACCCCCATCCCAGCTCCACAAAAGGTCATCACCAAGTATGACCAATGCCGTCTCTGTACTGTACCCTGGTCTGAAGCCAGACTGAAATCGGTCCAGGTCATTTGTTTCCTCCAAGATCCTCTGTAGCTGTCATCCAACCCCCTGTCCAACACCATTCCCCAGAAAGAGCTGATAATTCTCCAATAGAGAAAGGTCCAGAGAAAGGTCTTGAGGAGGGGCATACCACCACCTCTTTCAAGGCTGGTGGGACTATCCCTCTCTCAAAGAGGCTGAAACCACCGCATGAACCCATCCTATTGTCAACCTCCGGGCTGCTTTAATAACCTAGGCAGGGCCAGGATCTAACAAACAGGTGGCTGTACTAACAGACAAAAGGACTTTGTCTACTTTCTCAAGTGTAACAGAATCCCACTCAATTGAGATAACATCATAAGACTGTTTCCTGGGCAACTCATTAGGACTTGCCCAGTCAGAGTCCAACTCCAAGTAATTAAATCTCTCCTGAAAAATAAAGTTGTATACCATCATTTACCATAACTGGGACACAGTTATGAACTGCTTCTGGTTCTATCCAAAGGCAAAGACGATTGAACGTTTACTTCATTAGCTATGGCGGTTTATCAGACATTGACCATTACTCCACAATCTACTTTGGCACTCATTTGCTTAAAAAAGGCGTATACTCTAGCACATTAGAATTTTAATGTCTATATACAATCATACATACCAGTTCCTTTGCTTAAATATGGAGGCTTGAAGAATTTCACAGCCCCGTACAGGTTGACAACAGTCCCATTTTTAAGGTGATTCAGAGGAGTGTATGTGTATTGGGGAGCAACATGCTAGCAAGACAAAAGACAAAATGATCCTATGAGAAAAAGATCTATGGCAAACTACTCAAAAATTCTCTGACTGATCTATTTTTTCTTGCTGAGCGTTAAAATAGTGGAAACTATTATGAAAAAAAGTGATTTTTCCCATATAAACTAGAGGTCAGTAACTTTTTCAAGTAGTCGATATCATCGTGCAAACTCACATAATGCCATGATTATTTTTCCTTAAATACAGAAGCAGATTTTAAGAGATCTATTCTGTGAATTCTGCCAGTACCAAATAAATAAATAAATAATAAACAAGTACTTCAAAAAAACAACAATATAAAGATCAGTGGATGCCATCTAGCTGGTGGCGTTATGGTGCCCACAGTGCCCACAAAGTAGCTATACTGAATCTTTGAGCAGCTCTTTCACAGCTCTGAGAAGTGGATCCAGAGGGGTTCTTTACTTGCAAGCAAAGTGTCTTTTCAAATTATTTGCACAAGCATAAGAGCTAAATTCTCCTCTCATCTTATGAAAAAAGAAATATACCCTTGGTTTGAGAATCACTCAGAAAGACCACCTATACAACTATTCAGTTTCCTTGGCAACAGTATAGTAGTTACCTTCTTCCAAGATATTTTCTGATGTTAGATTGAGCCCACCAACCTCTTCCCAGTCCGGATAAGGTTGGTCCTAGCCTTGCCACCTAATGAGGCACTATCCATCTTGTGAGTAGAAAAGACTTATTTTAGTTATTGAGGCCACAAGTTTCATTGATTCAAAACATACCATGGCCACTGTTTCTGCCCCAGTCATAGTTCGTGATGATCTAGTACAAATCTGGGGGAAAAAAAAAAAGAATTATAGACGGTTAGCACTATAAAACAAGCTAAACTAATTTCAGACTCTTCATGCCAATATTTCAACAAGACTTTCATTAATTAATTGATTAAACTTAAACAAGAAATTAGGTATTATATCAGAAATAGACATCTCTTTAAGGTGCTATGACTCAGGCTAATCTAAAAGAATAATGATCTCTTGTTCTCTAAAACAAAGCCATTACTTTGCAAATAGATTAATTGGATATTTACTACTTTTAAAACATAATAGTAAGCATACTCTGCCAATTAGGGACATCTTCAACTATTCAAGCCAGTGTTATTATAAACCTACCTAAAGGTCTTATTCCTGTTATAACACTTAATTAAATCAATAAGGGACATTGCAAAATTCAGATTTTTATAACTTGGACAATTAGATTTAAAGATCCAGAAATACATCATTGTCTGATATTTTTAATTGCATTTTCTCTCTCTCTATGTGCGGCAGAGAGATATAGAGAAAAAAGAAGAGAGAACAAGCAATACTTTTTAAAAGTATACAGTAATACTTCCTTTAAAAAAACACACTATCAAATTGATACTGGTTTTATGTTTTTAACTTTTTGTTTAGTTATGTATTTAATTTGTATGTTGCTTCAAAAACTCTCAGCAGCCATCATGAAAAACACCATATAAAACAAACATCATATAAAAATTAAAAATTATTCTTTCTGCATTGTGTATTTTATCTATTATTAATGACCATGAGCGCTCACATTCACTAGAAGGGAAAAATATAAAACAGAGAGGTAACTCTAAAATCCTGTTAAGCATCAAAACTGGTTTTCTACCTGGCGGTTTCTAATGCACAAAAGGGACAGGTGTGTGTATTATTTAAAAAGTTATTAATTGTAATATGTAACCGTCTTTTAAAATTCCCTACAAATTACTCTCTAGTTCATCAACCAATTACGTGAGAATGGGGAGAATGAAAAAAAATAAAAACTTGCTCAACGTACATAAATCGTTGAGCTGGCTTCATCAGATACTTCCACCTGACAGCAATGCCTACTATGTTCACTAGCGGACTTTGACAAACTGAATCCAGTCACTGTGATGATATCCTATTGAAAGCAAAAATATACAACCAATTAGCATGTTATTATTGATGTCATCATTGTTATACTATTTATAGTACATCTTTTTAAGTCAGTTCTTTTAAAAAGGCCCCTTCACCAATATATTTTATAAATCAGAATATACACATGAGCATATATACATATACATATATTCTGTGCCTATGGTATTAACTCAACAGCCAAATAGTCATAAAAGCCAAAAATGTCATTTTATGAAGAGTGACGTTTGTGATGAAGCTTTCCACTGCACTCATTCTAAACAGTATTTTAAATGTCAATAACCTGAAAATTGCACTAGAGCAATAACGCAATAATACTTGCATGAAGTATATGCCGATGAAACGAAGCCAAACCAAACCAGACTATACTGGCTTGTCAGAATAAATAACACAGGAATTTCTTAAATCTCTCTCTTTCTCACCCATACATACACACACACACACACACACAGAGCAGAAAAGAAAAATAGAAAATATTTTCTGGTATCTCCAGGGTAGTGACAGAGCTTATGCCTGTGTAAGTATAAATCATTTTTGATGGTTGACATTAAAAGAGGTTATAGGTCTGATGGAGTTAGAAACAGTTCTCTGAAAAAGTGTTCATTCCCTTTCAGCTTTTCTGTGTACCTCTGCCATTGAATGGGATCAGAAAAGAAGTGTTTTGCAGTTCTTGCGGCCAAAGTTGGTGCAACCAGATATAGAGTCTAATGGGCCAATTACTTTTTCACCATGGCATATCGCTTGCAGGACACTTTGCCTATGAAATCAATGAACCGGGCACCACACTTTGCCGTTATTTGTTCATTCAGACTGACTTTCAGTATCGATGGGGCCCATATGAGGCTCTCATAGCTTTCAGTGGAAAAGATAGGCAAACATTTAGAAAACCCAGCAGGAGTGAATACTTTTTCACCGAATTGCATATGCATATTCCACTGAAACTGATGGACTTATAAAGAGGTATCACTGATTTCAGTATTATTCAGTTAAATTTCATTTTCTCTCAAGTTGTGCCCAGATCAGGAAAAAGAACTGGCAAATCACACAAAAAAATTGTGTGTGTGTGTGTGTGCCTTCAAGCCAGATTTCAAGCAACTTCCTGTAGTGGTCCCCGCAGTTTTCTTGGCAAGATTTCAGAAGTGGCTTGCCATTGCATCCTTCCTAGGGCTGAGAGAGAATGACTGGCCCACGATCACCCAGTTGGCTTTGTGCCTAAGGTGAGACTAGAACTCACCGTCTCCTGGTTTCTAGCCTGCTGCCTTAACCACTACACCAAACTGGCCCTCTTTACAAATACAGAAATGTATAATGGTTTGTAGAGATTTTTATCACTGTGCCATCCAACTCACTTTTTTTCTTTTTTCCTTTATTCCAGAAGCACTACATTCTGAATCAAGAATTGGAATCCACTGTATATGTGAGGAAGATGAAATTAAATATAGATAAGGCAGAGTTAATTGTGCTACTAACATAGCTTGCCCCAGGATCCAGATGGTAGCCTCCCTGATGGCATTTAGGAAAGCAATGAAAACAAAGCTCTTCCATAGAACTTTCAATTTCTTAAATTAAATAGCATTATGGATGTGGGATGATGGACCCCAAGGTGGGTAAATCATTCATGTTTTTAAAGTTTAACTCTTTAAAATCTGCTTTTATATACGTTATTTGCCTATGTTATAAACTTTCTTCAAGCGTACTGCAGCACATTAAAAAAATAAACAAATGAATAATAGGGGTCTGTCAATCCTTTGAAAGAAGTGCTTTGGAAGAGCTGGAAGCACATCTTTTTCCAGAGTTGTACTGCAGCTTCCAAAGCTAAAGCAAGTCTGAAAAAAGGCAAGAGAGCTTTAACAATTAGAAAAGTGATCCTTGGTAAGCATTTCCTACCTGACTAGAATTACATACATGCTCTCTGTTGGACTGCCACTGAAAACTACTACGAGATGTCAATAAATGTGGAATGTGGCTGCTACAATTTTAAAACAGGCAAATGACTTGGATCACCCAACCCATTTATTTTAATCAGTGGAACTGGTTGCCCACTTTTTTTTTTCCTTAGAATAATTCAATGTTCTGGCTATTGGCTTTAAAGCCCTTAATGGCTTTTGGCAAGGTTACTTGAAGAGGTGACTCTTCCCATACGAATCTGTGCAGCCTCTGAAATCACCTATTGGAGCCTCTCACAATAGCTGTTGCTTAGAGAACCATTAGTGACATTCACACTTTCTTATTAGTAGCACTCCATTCCATTCTACACTAAGTCACTTTCTTCTGTATCTATATTCCTTCAAAAACTGCCAATATTTCTTTTCAAACAAGTATTTGCTGTTTCTTAAATTTATTTATGTCAACTTTGTTTTTGTTATAATCTTTTCAACCTATTTTGGGACACTTGTTTGTAGGGGAAAGATTGAGTTTGGATTGGCAAAGTAGATTCCCCACCCCCATTTCATACTTTAAAAATGTAATTTTATTTATAAAATTTATTGAAAATATTTATACCTCACCTACATGTTGCTAGCACCAAATGAATATGTCCAAGAAGTTACCAGGAGGCAAACTCAAGTCAAAATCTTTTTACGTTCTTCGTGCAATAATAGGTTGCACAGAACTTAATACATTCTGTCTTAATTGTACTTAATTGTACTTCTAATTTTGTACAATCAGATTACCTTCTGCTTAGTTAGTAGATGGGGAAATTTGAGGTAGGGCCTTACTGATCCCATAACTTTCCTAAAAGTGCACCTGAACAGCCTAAGTTATTCTGTCAACTGCCTATTCTACAAAAGCAACATATGGTTGGATTTCAGGATATCGAGATGATGATGTTGTTGCTTGGTTGACATACTGTCTTACATCTTTCCTCCAAAATAATAGGCAACTCAAGATAAATTGCGTGAAGAATCTGTCTCGTTATTAGTTGGTTAAGCATATCCCCTGTTTTCTTACAGATGGAAAGAAATGCTGTGAGTTGGACAGCTTCATTACATCTAACATCTTCATTTTTTAACGACAGCCAGTTGCTCACTTAGAGCAAACAGTAGAAGTGGTATTGGAATACTATGGAGTGTCTAAAAAAACATGTCCACAAAGATCATAAATGTGGATAGTTGTACGACCATTACAAGCCAAGTGAAAGAGCAAGAAAGAGTAAATGTTAACTGCAGATGGTCTTGTAAATGTTCATCATACGACCATGCAAAATTTCACAAAAGCAGAAGGAGGGGGAAGAAATAAAATCAGCAAGAAATCTGGGAAAAATGAGAATGAACACAGAGAATCATAGGATAATTTAAAGGCTGCTTTACTTTTCCAGTTAATTCTGGCATTTCCAGAAGTACTATTTCAATTTTCGGGGTTAAAGTGCTATTTCAATTTTGGGGGTGGCATTGAAATATTATCAAATATAACATTTTAGCCTCAAAAGCTGACCCTTTGTATTTAATGGTTGCCAACAATACTCAAATTTGCTTTTAGAGCCATGGCTTTTTCATTTTTATTCAATTAATTGCAAATAAAAACCATTTTTAGCAAAATATAGTTCTTTGAATGTTCTTTTTGCTATTTCAGCAGTTGGCAACAATATTCCTTTAAGTGATTTAAAATCCTAAGTCCTAAATCTTTATATTATTTGTTGTACACTATAGGTAACTGCCATGATCGACAGGTCAAAGAAAGAAAAAGAAAGAAAGAAAGAAAGAAAGAAAGAAAGAAAGAAAGAAAGAAAGAAAGAAAGAAAGAAAGAAAGAAAGAAAGAAAGAAAGAAAGAAAGAAAGAAAGAAAGAAAGAAAGAAAGAAAGAAAGAAAGAAAGAAAGAAAGAAAGAAAGAAAGAAAGAAAGAAAGAAAGAAAGAAAGAAAGAAAGAAAGAAAGAAAGAAAGAAAGAAAGAAAGAAAGAAAGAAAGAAAGAAAGAAAGAAAGAAAGAAAGAGAGAGACAGAGAGAGACAGAGACCAATTTTGAAAGAAATTTCCAGGGAATGAAGTGCAAAAATATTAAATATTTTAAGGAGAAAACATATTTTGCATAATCCACTATTTATTTATTTCCCAATACAAAACATCTTAGAATAATGGGAACATGATAAGGAAGCTTCCTTATATGTGAAACACAAGATGGTCCAGCATTTGTCTTCCATCGACTTTTTTATAATAATATCAAAATCAGCCACAATTTCTCCAGCTGTGCTATTTGGAAGATGATTATCAAAATCATCTCCAATTAACATTATATAAATATAATTTCATAAATTCTTTCCCCCTCATAATTCCATGAAGTACTTATACCCATAGTTCTGATTGTTTCAAGTAGTAATTGCTTTTCTTTTTAGAATAACTAATTCATAGAATCATGTTTCTTCTTAACTGAAATGATCTTCCCTTAATCACATTCACAATAAGCATATACTGTACTCTAGTAGCTAGAAACCCAAATCACAAGGGAGGTTTTGGAACAAGCCCCTTCTGCCTGTTTGAAATTTACAATTGTTTCAACCTGATTGCTCAAGAGCTACATTCTACAGTCTCCTACTGAGAGATTGCAGTTTTAACACTTTTTTAAAAATGAAGAATGACAGAAGCACTAATTAAGTTTCTGAGGCTTTGTCCAATGTGATGGAGAAGCTGATTCAGTCATTGTTCTGTTCTGTTCTGTTCCGTTCCATTCCCCTCCATCCCAAGCTCTATTTTTGTGTCCTGATAAAGGAAATAGAAAAGTTGGAAAGAAAAGCTGATCTGCCTTCCAAGGAAAGATAACTGCCAAGTGTGGGGGATATACATGGGTGTGTGTGTGTGTGTGTGGTGTCAATTATTTATAGCATATTTATT